TTTTAACATATTATGGTACAAGAAATTTTATGTACCAGTAACAAATTTGTGATATTTATGCATCATAGAAGGCCAAGAACTCTTTGTAGTTACAAGTTCGTCGTAAGTTCAACAAAACCACTTACTGTATTATTTTACTACATTATTTTACTGTATTAATTACAAGGTATTATTTTGCATATGGATATCGTTATTGATTTCTAGAGTTACGCTTTTAACTCATAAGCATAAATTAAAAAATTAAAAATATTTATATGGATACGGAATTAGTCCTACCCATGTATAATGTGCATCCTTATTTTTCCCTCATAAATTTGGGCAAAACAGTACGCATTATACACAGCAAAAAATGGTACTTCTCTAGGTTTCACTTTCTTGGTGAATGGCAACTCCACCTCTCCAGATACCCATGTGAGAAATTGGGTGTCATCTTTAACTCTCTGTGATACTGTGATTTATAATACATCACGCCCTCCTTTCTCCTTCACTCCCCTTATCCCATGTACTACATATAGTTCTCTCAGTTCTGTAGATTTCTTTCCATTCCAGTTACCATCATGTCATTTCTCTATAATGGCAGTAGCTTCCAGTGTTGTTGAATCCATTTAAGAAACTACCCAGAGTTGCAGAGCTGACCATACTACTCCATTGCCTTTGAGTGGTTCTCATTTGTCCTAGAGATCAAGTCTTAATGTCCTGAGCAAGACATAAGATGTCCCCTCATGGCCCTGTCTACCTCTTCAGACCCCTGTCTCACATTTCTTTCACACACATAATGCTCTAGTCTACAGTTTAAGCTAACTGAACCGCCTTTATTTCTTTCTGCCTTAAGGCTTTTATATATGGTGCCTCCCCCTAGAATTCAATAGTATATTTATTGGTTGTCCTAAGCTCTGAGGATACAGTAGTGAACAAGACAAAGTTCTGTTCTAGTGGAGCTTGCATTTCAGTGGATGACACAGGTAATAATAACTAGGTAGACAAGTGAATATATGTTGTGTCAAAACATAAGTACTATGAAGAAACATAAACCAAGGCAGGAACTAGAGAATATGACTATGCTCAGTTATATCATGAGATTAAAAAATGACTATTTGGGGAAGGTGGCATTTGAACAGAGATTAAAGAAAAGGATGGAATGAGCCATGTGATTCTTCAGGAGGAAAGTATTCTAGGTAGAGAGAATACTTGGCAGAAACAGTGAGACAGCTGTGTGCTGGCATGTTTGAGAATCAGCAAGATTTGTATGGGAGAAGGTATTTAGGGAATGTGGACAGTGAGGTAGCCAGGAAGCAGACCATGTCCACCCTGTGGCCCAGAATAAGGATTTCAGGTTTATTCTTGGTATGATGGATAGCGCTTAGAAGGTTGAGAGCCGTGTGATGTGATTTACATTGGTAGAGTTTGGGAGACCAATGAGAAGATAGTTAAAAAGTCCAGGCAAGAGATGATAATGGCTCAGTCTACAGCGGCAGTGATGAAGGCAGCTGAGGTGGCTGGGAGTGGTCTGTTTCCCACTCCCTGCTGTATCCAATCTTCAGGTCTCAGATTAAATACCACTTCCTCAGATACTCTTCCTGATCTCTCTTACCTGGGCCAGGTCTCTCTGTTATGCCTGTCTGTACACCTTGTTCTCTTTTGTGGCACTTATAAATAACCGCTGCCATAAAGCTCCATTTGTATCCCCTGTGTCAAGATAGTGGAGCTCTTTAAGGGAAGCCGGGAGGATGTCTGTCTGGATCCCGGCAGCCCTGAACTGCTGGTTGCATAATGGTGCTTAGTGCACACTTAAACAGCTTTTTTCAGGGAGCGAATGTCTGATTGTATTTAAAATTGCCCTTACCTTTCATAGCAGTATGGATCTTTACTGTTGATATTTTTCTTTTTCTTTAGTGAAACTGATGAAAGTTGTAAGAAGCACCTTGGAAGAGTGTTATCTATTTGGGAAGAAAGGTCTGTTTATGAAAATGATGTATTAGAACAACTTAAGCAAGCTCTGTGTAAGTGTATAATCTTTTATCATGATCTCTTCATTAAAATGTGTTCGTTTATTAAGACTTAACTGTTCTTTTAATTCAGATGGAGATAAGAAGCCTAGGAAGCGAACTTATGAACAGATAAAGGTGGATGAAAATGAAAACTGTTCCTCTCTGGGCTCTCCAAGTGAACCACCACAGGTAGAAGTTGTTCTCTGTTAAGGGAGTTATGTTACTTCATGTGGCCACCAAGCTTTATTAATGTCAGTGTCTTACTGTAGTAAATTGATTTTAATTACCGTTCTTGGTACAAGAAAGAAGCTACATGAATATCTCATATTTTCTGATTAACAGATTGCTGATGTTTATATAATATGTATTGTATATTAGGCCATCATATTTTACATAGAAAGAGGATTTCTCATTGCTTAGTATGATTAGGTCTAGTGAGATATCCACCGTTTAAACAGTTTCCTTTTAAATAAATAAAACACTATATAAGATTACTTGTATGATTTAAGTACACTAAAAATTCCATTTCTAGAAATTAAACACTGCCCTTATGAAGTATTTTTGCTTTTAAACCTGTAAAAACGAGTGTTAGAGTAACAAGTATATATTCATACAGTTCTGTGTAACTAGTAGAACCATGTAGTTCCATGATAAAATAAGGTGGATTCAAATCATTACCTTAATATTTCGTGTCCTCCCAGATTGGTATAATAAAGCATTCCTTAACCATTAGATGATTCCAGAAAGACATTTTTAAGTTTTAATTATGTGGGCATTGAGTCTTAAAGCTTCCTCCTTCTATGTTTCAAACATATAGGAGAGACAGATAAAATTTAAAAGGAGAAAATGAAGACATAGCCATACTCTTAAAACAAGGTAAATATCATGGTGGGCTAGAAATGGTATAGAAACACAACTCAGTATGTGAGCCAGAGACTGGTTCCTGCTGAGCTTTGATCTGGAAGCAGACATGGGTTGCCAGAAATTAGTATCCTGGAGGGAAACAATAACTCAGAGTGCTCCAGGAAGTTGGAGGACTTGACCTGAACTCACTGCACGAAACCAGAGGCAGGGTGGAACTCTTGCCCCCATGAAAAGAGCTTGAAAGAAACGTACAATCAATTATGGCCTAGAACTGTGGCTATATATTGGTGTTAACACTAGGGAGGCAGAAAGAATCTACCTGTTGGCTCAGCGACAGGAATGCTGAACCCCCGGTGATAGCATTTTTTGTGAGGGACTAGCTTAGATCAGTTGGTAACTGGCAGTCAGTGTCATCTTAATATATACATAGAATTGGTAATTTCATATATTTTTCAAGTATGTGTGTGATTTCCTAGTTTTCCAGGATCTATCTAGTTTTAGAGATTAAGGAAAGCAAAAAAAGGAGGTGCAATGGGGATGGAGACTAGTGAAAAGAAAATGTATTAATTTTCTTTGGAATAAGTTTATAGACATTATGAATTGTGAAATCACCAGCAAAGACTTGCCCTTCCCTCCTAATTACAGCTGGTATATGAAAAAATGCAACTAAAATATTCTAATGATAAAATAATTTTTATAATGGTTAAGCATTATGTTAAAGTTAGTCATCATATATGTGGAACTCTGTAATATTTTAATGATCTTATTAACAAATCATAGACTAGTTGAAGATACCATATTTAAATGTATTCCAAAACCACATTTTTTGTGTTTGCTTTAATTATATCATTTAGAAATGGAATCTGGGAGACTCTTCCATGTTGTGGTAGAAGAAATTTGTATCCTCCTTCCCCAATATTCAATTTCATATTAAAAAATGCTCGTCACGTATAATGATAATATAATGAATAAAATTTGTATTCTCCAGGTTGAAGTTATAGCCTGTCTTCCCTTTACCATTGTGTGTATTTGGCATATAAATCAATCACATCAATTTAATAGTCAGATAATCTGTCTTCACTGCAGTATGAGCTGCTCACAGCCAAGGGCCACGTCTCATTTATATTTCAAATATATTTATTTCCAGTACCTAATGTAGTGTAACTTCTTTTCCTTAGAATACAAAAGAAATGGAGTGTCTCAGAAAGCAGCTTATATTTGAAACTTTGAATTAGTAAATAGCCCATAAGGGCTAATGAACATGAAATAAATTGCAAGTCTTTTGTTATGTGTTTAAGCTCATTTATTTTGGTTCTAAAGTTGTATAACTTTTTAGACTCTAGATCTCGTTAGGGCGTTACAAGATCTGGAAAATGCTGCCTCAGGTGATGCAGCAGTTCATCAGAGGATAGCTTCTTTGCCTGTTGAAGTCCAAGAAGTATCCCTACTAGATAAAATAACAGGTAAGAAGAGAAAATGTGACCTGAACTTTTTTGGGAGTCAAGATGAGGGAATAGCATATGGCATTGTTTTTGTTTTGTAATAATCTTATTCTGTGCTTTTCTTAGATAAAGAATCTGGAGAAAGGCTTTCTAAAATGGTAGAGGATGCTTGTATGTTGCTGGCAGATTACAATGGCAGATTGGCGGCTGAAATAGATGATAGGAAGCAACTTACTCGAATGTTAGCAGATTTTCTTCGTTGTCAAAAGGAAGCCCTTGCAGAGAAAGAGCATAAATTGGAAGTGCGTAACCTTTTCCTTCTTTAGTGCTTATTTAATTTACCTTTTTTTTTTTTGGTAGGAATTTTAAAATTTCTTAATGTTCTTGCACATGTTACGTTTTTTTTTTTTGACATAGACCTTTTTAGACAGTGGCCCTGGTATGGTAGCTGCTCCTTGCATTAATGGGTTTCCTGTCTATTTGAATCAAACCAACTTGCCAAAGTAATTTAGAGATTTGGAATTAACAGAATTGATTGCATTTAAAAATTATTCATGTGAGATTCCAGTAATATGAGTTTAAATCCTTATTTTCAAAGCTAAAATAATCGGGAATAGCAGTTAGTATAAAGTCTGGTGTTAAGTACAGTAAATTATGGTTGGACTTATTTAATTCCTGTTCTGAGTACATGCAGTCTTTTGGGTATACATTTAAGAAGTAAAAAGACTTTTGGGCATAGAATTGGTGGTGGGTATGCTAGCCCCCAGTCTCTCTGTTCCTGAACAATTCATCAGTTTTCCTCAGGCATGTAGTGTTCAAGTAACTCCTTTGTTCCACCCCTGATTTTAATGCTTAACATATTCCCACCCCACTCCCAGCTCAAATACACCCTTAGGTAGAAAGTAATTGCCTTCTTTAAATTGAATAATGATTGATACTAAGGTGAGAAGTCTGGAGCCGCAGAGGTAAAAAAAAACAAACCCCAAAACACCCTCATATCTCCTCTGAGCAGAGTAGCCATTGTCAGCACTAGATGAGCCAGATTTGGTTTTATTAAAAGAATTTTTCATTTGACTAGTTCTTGTTTAAATTGTTTACTGCTGTAGCAATTTCTTATGTAGGAGAATTTCTAATTAGTCTGGATCCCGTTATTTAGAGACAATTGTCTGTAAATTTGTAGGTAAGTTATGATACTGCTTCTATTCATTCATCTGCTTTAAATGTCTAGTCTTGTTTCAGCAATCTCTGATTGTGCCCGAGATGGTTGCCATTTTACCTGTGAGAGCAGCTTCTTGATTAAGGACCAGCAACAGAGCTTTCCCTCCACAAAAATCTCAGCTCTTAATTTAGCGTTGCTCCCCCTCTGCTCACGTTGCTCCCCCTCTGCTCACGTATACACTCTCAGAGCGTAATTGTTGGTGCCACGCTCTGCCTTTAGAGAGGTTGCCCAGTTCTGTGGAGAAAGGAAAAGATAGAATTTTTAAAAGATACTTTTGATAGTTAAGTGGCCAGTTTTTTATTTTGTAATGGAAATTCAATGTTAAACATATTGTTACTTGTTTTATTGCTAACAGAATTAAGGGTAAGTAATGTCATACAATTTTTGTCTTTAGTCTTTTGGTATGGTTTCTTTAACTTCTGTTGAGCTTCTGTTGCAGGTATTGGACATGGGCGTATCTTCTAACGATGTCATCATCATTAGCATATTCTTCCTGTTAAAAATAAATATCAAACTCCAAAGCCTGTATTGTCTCATGTTTTTGAAAATGGAAGCAAAGACTGCAACTTTATTCTACTTTATACTGCTTTCTCACTTAAATTGGTTATTTATCACTTGTTACAAAAATAGAATTTATGTTTGAAATGTAGAAAATAGATCAGGTACCAACCCCACCCCCTCTTTTGTCAGTGCCTTCCAGCCAGATTTCATAGTTGATAGTTGTAGGTGGTGAGGCTGATGATAAGAATAATATTTACCATGTGTTAGGTATTATTCTAAGCATGTCACATATATCAACTCATTTAGTCCTATATAGCAGGAAATATTATTATCCCCATTTTAAAGATAGGAAACTAAGGCACAGGAAGATTAAATAACTTGCCCAAGGTCACAAGGTAGTGAATTGTTTAGAACCAGGGAATCTGCCTCCAAAAAAGACATACATACTTTTCATTTTTACTTAAAGAAATGATAACAGTAAAAGCTAAGCCCTATCTCCAGCTGTTTCTGCTTCCTCCCTCCGCAGAGGTAATCACTCTTGAAATAGTCTTGTAGGAACTTTTTTTTTCCCCCAGCATAACTGGATTTTCTCATAAAGAAATCACCTAAATTATGTTAAACATTTTTTACAAGAAATATTTAGGTTTAAACAGTGAAGTCATTTCTCAGAACTCTTTGTAAATTATCATTTATAACTAATGCCTTTGTCAGAAGATAAGAAAATGTTTTGAGATATTTAGATATTATTTGTACTAAGTAGGCAGCACCACTTTAAAGCTGAGGCTAAGCGGTCAAGTTATACTTCCCATATGAGCTGTGACATCATCAAATAGTTTTAAGTTAGGCATTTTTGAACATATACTGTGATTGACCAGGTATTATTGATGTGTCATTTGTTTTGTTTTGAAAATGGGAGGTAAATTTAAAGTGTCAGTTCAGAAATTGGCTATTTCATATTTCTTAAGTAGGCCACTATAAAAGCATTTGTTAGGAATGAAAACTTGAAGTATATTTTAAAATTTTGGAAATTATGAATCATTTTTTGGAAACTTGTGGCTAACTTTAGCTGGTTATTAAGTAGATCACTTAGACTTGATAAATGTAATTTATAAAATGTGTTTCATAGATTGTTATGGGAATCATTTCACCATTCAGAAGTTGAAATTATTGCTAAACCATTGTTCACCTAGCTTATTATTTTGGAAGGCATTCATGGATAGGGGGCTTAAAATGACATTTTGATTTTGATATTTTCGGAGAGAAGGCAGTGTAGAGAGTTCAGCTATTCTTCCATATTCAATAAGATAATACCTGCTCAGTTTTGAATACCTTTTTTCTATGATGTAGTTGATATAAGGAAACATGCTTTTATAAAATCCTTATTTATCTCATAGTAAATTGATCTATTTTAAATTGCTAGGCTTCCATAGAAAATTGATTCTCTAGTCTGTGGAATAGATTTCCATAGAAAATTGAAAATCACCATTTGATGCCTCTTAAAAGGAGAAGTCAGTCATAATTACAAAGTTCTTGAAGTCCAGATAGGAAAGGTGTCAGAGAGGACAGTGTTTATCTTTTGCAGTCTTACATCGGTAATTTCAGATTTACCTCATTAAAAAAAAGTGAGGGCATAGTATTCATTGTATGAATGTTGTGTGTTTAGTTTGTTTAAATATGTCCCTCTTCTCATAGTGTCAGATTGCATCCATTGAGTTGCTTTTATTAGTTTTGTGTATTATATGTAGTACTATAGAGAACACCTGGTGATGGCAGGCTTGTATAATTGTGCAAGAATATCTATCTGCAGGATTGATTCTCAGAAGTAGAATAGAATAGCTAGGTCAACAGGAATGTATGTTTTAAGTGTTGATAGTGTACTGAAGCCCTCCAAGAGATTCTGCCTTTTTAAATTCCTCGCAGTATGAGTACATCTTTTCCTGTACAGCCTTGCCCACACTGAATGTCAGTGATCTTTTAACTTTTTGCTTTATCTGATAAAAACTTATTTTTTCATTCACTTAGTTTGAACATCTTTTAAAAATATTTTTAGCCATTTTATTTCTGCTGTAAATTCCCTATATTCTTTGACTACTTTTCTGTTTGGTTCTAAATCTGTGTATTAGTATTTGTGTTTGCCTTTGTGGATTCAGGGCTTTCTGGGTATAATTAAGGTGGCCTCAATTCATAACTATAAAAATACTGTGCTATTTTTTATGGTTCTTTTTTTTTTTTTTTTAAGATTTTTTTATTGGGGAATTCGGGGGATGGGAACAGTGCTGGGGAATTGGGGAAGGGGAACAGACAAGTTGTTGTCGTTTTGTTCTTCAGTCTAGTTGTGGATGACGTTGCTTCACTGGCCCAAGTTGGCACCATCATTGCGCTCTTCCTGGGAGAGGCAGATCAGTCGCCGGCTTCTGGACGGCCGCTCAGTGCGGCTGCTGGCCGCTCACGCTGGCTGCTGGCTACACATGGTAGCCCATGGCAATCCACTGCCACAGGGGCTGCAGCCTACGCCGTCGCCGGAGACTCACAGCAGCCCAGCTCCAGGTTGAGCTGTTGTTCAGCATCTTAGCTGTAGAGGGCAGTGTCACTGGCCCTCATGTGGGATCCGAACCGGGGCCCTCCGGCATCCAAAGCCAGTTCTTAACCATTGCGCCACTCGGCCGGCCCTATGGTTCTTTTTTTTAATAATTTTATCCATTAGGATTTTTTGTTCTTGGTATGTATAATGTTGGGAGCTAACTTTTAGGAAGTGATAGTAAAAGTTTCCGCATTTATTGATTAATGACTCAATCTATCTTACTATGTTTTGAAATGCCATTTCTGTCATACTAATTCCTATGTATACACATGGGAGTGTAGTTCCGTTTCTATTTTACTGGTCCATTTGCCTTACCCACCCTTAACGATACAGTAGATTTTTGTTTGTATTGCTGTTTGGTATTGTTTGTGTCTATAATTTTAACTAATCATGGTTGTATATATGAATTTTTACTTTCTTCCCACTTATTTTATACATATTTGCCTTCATACTTAATATTTTATTTTATTTTTTAAAGATTTTATTAGGGAGTTGGAGAATCGGGGAAGGGAACAGCCAAGTTGTTGTCCTTCAATCTTAGTTGTGGAGGGTGCAGCTAGCTCAGCTCCAAGTCTAGTCGCCATCTGGCCTCCCATCAGCAGCTCACGGCTCCTCAGCTCAAGGTGCCATGTTCAATCTTAGTTGCGGGTGGGCATAGCCCACCATCCCATGTGGGAGTAGAACCGGCAGTCTTGTTGTTAGGAGCATGTGCTCTCACCAGCTGAGCCATCCTGCCACCTGTTGGCAGCTCAGCGGCAGCTCAGCTCAGATACAGCTCACTGGCCCATGTGGGAATCAAACTGGCGACCCTGTTGCTCAGAGCTCGCACTCTTAACCAACTGATCCACTCAGCCAGCCCCATACCTAATACTTTAAATGACAACATTTTGCTAAGACCATTTTTTATTAAATTATTTTTTATTTACAGTTGACAGCTAAGTAGACGTTGCTTAATTTACTTGGCCTTTTCCCTATGTTTGGACACACTGTTTGCTTCTGTT